TGACGCTGGTGTATACTAAAGGAAAAGGAAAGGGAAGCCTAACGCTAAACTCAAGGCGAAGAAGCGGAGTATTTGAGAAAATTAGCCTTATCCTGGCGACCGGAAACATAGCGACTTAAGCAAGAACAACCCCTCTGCCTCTGGAACTCACGCCGCATTAGGGGTTATGTGATCACGATTCCTGAGCGCCGAAACACGAGCACATTCGGCCCCGGTGATAGCCAATCTAAGGAGTCTACAAACTCCGGTTTGCCGATACAAGTGAAGATGCGAGTTCCAGGAACTAGTTGCTAATAATACGGAGAAGCGATCGCTGGAACGAGGGCTTTATTCGCCTGACGTTTCGGATTCTCGCTCGAACCCATCATCAGAGACAGTGACAGAAGCGGATGATTCGGGCACAGGATGTTGCAGTATCTATAGGATGCAGTTACTATGCGACCGAGTACCTATGTTTCGGGAAGTCCTTACACAAAATAAATACGTTCGCCTGACGCAGCAGGTTACTTCCAATTAGAAACAGGTCTGCATGTTGTGGGATGCTTACGCAGGCGGTGGACACTGAAATGACCACTGCTGACTGATTAGCCGTCTTCAGTCAGGCATACCACCAACCGCAGGCCTGAATAACGTGGACAGTTTGAACCCGAACTTTCCGGTCGGTGAACTCTAAATCAAGCGCTATGCTAGTAAGGCAGAGACTAGCCATCCAGCCAGTAATGATCTGATTCTAGCCTCGGGTTTTCCAGATTCGGGATCGAGTTATGGCTGGCTAGTGACGGCTAATAAATCGGAAATATTCGTTTTAGTCTCCCGCATCTTCTTCAATATTCAACCTAGATAAAGCGTTTGTAGTTACGCGGACCCCTAAGGACTGACAGCAAATCTCCAAAGCAAAACTGAACGCACATTCTTCGCCTTGTAGGCAGGCCGGTGTAGCGTTACTTCCTAAGAAGCACCACAATCAAATCTTAATCTGCTCGATATTTTATTTTTTTAGTCAATTGATCTAGAATTTGGAGACATTGGGTGACTGACTCATCCAGTACATTGCACGAGACAGTGGCTTATAGCTCAACGGATTTATCTTCTGAAGAGCCACTTGTAAAAGACTAGCTCTAGCACTAGCATGCACATAAGTTGGACCTATGAGGAATCTACTGCCAACGAAAATGTAAGAGATCAAAACGACCGTTTCTAGCTTGTTCGCAGTCTACACCGCAAACTCAGATAGGAAACCAACTTGATCATTGGACTGCATCCCCTACCAGCTGGGGCACTTGCTCGTGTTCCGTCGGCCGCTATCCGAATTACTCAAACATCGGATTGGATCGGGCCCAACTTAAGGAGGGTATAAAAGCGATTTCTTAACTTGCAGCTTCAGTCTAAAGCCCTCGAGGGAGACCACATAGCAAGGTTCAGACAGGAGCTGAAAAGTATTACCGATCAACGCTAAGCTGACCAGAACGATCATTCCAGGCTTAGTTGTCATCGTTAGCTCTGTAAAACTTGACGGTTGAACGCGAGCCAATCTTATCTTTAATATGATGTTCCCCATATGGACGGGACCTAATTTCGCTAAGAAGTGCCTTGAGGGTTGTCGTTGGAGCTGATTAGGGTTCTCTTCCAGATATTATCTTGCCTGGGACCGGGAGAACTGGGTGACCGCGAAAAAACAGAGAAAATCGTCCACCGACTCACGTTCGGATCCGAAGGGCACTTCAGCCTAATCGTCATCACAAAAGATTCTCGATGGCGAAGCATTCTCCCCTCAGTTACAAACTCAATTAAAGGATGGAAGGTGATCTGACCGAAACAGCTAGATGCACTTCTAATCGGCCCACTTCTAAATGAATTGTTACAATGTGGTTGTAATGGTAAGAGACGCTCACCGATCGTTCTTACGGAGCTAACTCGTTACTTTGTGCCTTACGGGCTATCTCTCGAGCCCAATTAGCAGCCGCACAACGGCGCATTATATAGGTAGTATGTTCATACCGGCTAATAAGCCAGAAATGGCCATTCTAGTCTCTATAGTCTTTTTCGGTAATGTCACTCTGCCTATATCATGCGCCGCTGTGCGGCTACTGGTTGGGCTCGAGGGAGATCCCGTAAGGCACAACGGAACGAGTGAGTTCCGTAAAAACGATCGGTGAGCGTCCCCTGCCATTGTATATTTCCGACCAAAAATCGACAGGGCAGCGAGTTATTGGCCCAGTAGTTAGAGGCATGGACTGCTAACTAACAAGTCGCGAGTTCGAGCCTCGGGTGTTGCACACTTCGGGGTTGGGTATGACTGGCTGACGACGGCTAATAAGCCAGAAACGGCCATTCTAGTCTCCCCCGTCTTTGTCTGTAAGAACAGTATGTGGCTGCACTTATAGGGGAAAAGGCGTTAAACTCTAACGCAGATATTAAATTATTTTTTACGGATTAAAGCACAACATTTTTGCTACAGAGGACCATGTGCCATCTGTTGATCAGCCAGCCGTGAGTCAGTGCAGCACGCGAGCCTAAATTCTTTCATAAGATATGGCTGAATCATTTGAAAGCTCCACTGATTGAGTTTAGACGCATTTTAAAGTCATTCTAAAGAAACACACATTGGTTTGTCCCCTCTAGTGTCACAGAATCTACTGGACACCCTCTAATAAAATCAATCAGAACAGTTTTGGCTGTAACACTATCGCATAATTTTAGGGCTACAAGATACCATTCTAGCAGCACAGGTACTAACTAAAAGCCCAAATAGGCGTATTTCGCCGATATTCCGCCGCTGCATGCACAGCTGTGAGGAGTTCGGCTCTTCACTAAGTTTCCCAGCATTCCCCGTCTGCTTTCTGGGAGGTACTCCAGTTTACAGTTTGTTGCCTTTTAATTTCTTCAGAAATTAACTGCGGACTTTGAGTAGATCAGTATATTGTAAAGTCTATAGGCGCAGGCCCAAAGTTGATGCATGAATATGAGGACCGAAGTCTATCAGCTACAGCGAGATGACCGCGTAATATTTACTAAATGCTGACAGGTAGCTAGCAGTATATTTCAGGGTTACCAGGATATCATTCTGGCAGCATAGGTAATCGCGTCTAGCCTGGACCGTCTACGGGATTTCATGTCGCTCCCCCATAGGACGTTTTTTGAAGTGGTTGGGAGGCAGGGGGGATGGGGATGGGAGAAGTGTAGAAAGACGGGAAGCAGAATAACCGGGTGTGAGGACGCAGCACGGGATACACTCATGTGATTTTGTCAGCCGGTCGAGGCAGTTACCGGTGTGCGGTCACTAAGCAGAGCCAATTTTTGGGAGCCACAGATGAGAGTTAGAGGCCAGTTAAAGACCGTGCGGAGCAGGCGCCATTTACGCAGTGCGACATAGCATTCACGCACGATGGCCTCCTAACTTGTCACCCCTGCAACCCTGGAAAGCACGTGGGTGGGAAGACGCCTAGAGGACCCACTGGTCAGCCAAACCACTCACGATTGAGTCGTAAGACGGCGCACGTCGTCGAAACACGCGCGTTTTTTTAGCTACTTCCCGTGCTGGCAGGCATAGGTCGGGGTCACAATTTTCATTCTAAACAGCACGGCCTGCATGATTATCGGCAAGAACGGCGCCTACATCCAGGAAAATAAGGAGCGCTCCGAGGCCTGCGTGCAAATTTCACAAAAATCATGATACTTCGGTCTTTCGGAGCGGTTAGCTCAGAGAGGGAAAGGAAAACTCTGCTCCCCATCACTCTACACTTCCCCCACCCCATCCTCTATCTCCCACCCACTTCAAAAAACGTCATACGGAGGGAGCGACATGAAATCCCGTAGGCGATCCATGCTACCACGAGTTGCTCTTCACTAAACAAAACTGCGATCCATATTGTTGCTCGGCAGCCGTCTGGGATATCTAAGTATTTTTATTTATGGATAGCATTACTTACCCGCTCGTGTGAAATGGTTAAAAAGGTACCCTAAACAAGTGTCGGGAAATCACGCTATCTGCAAGTATACCGTGTCCCGAAGATAAAAAAAACTCGCGGTCAAGAAAATAGACAACAGCGGCAATCCTCTTCCCCTTCCATCCTTTCCCCACTGACTGCTGGGTTAGGTCGCAGTTCTTTGATATCCTGTAATTTTCGTTCCCTTTTGGACGATCCGAGCGGTGAACAGCTGGAACAGATGACGGCCCAGGTCGCTAGAGAACTGGCGCCCTACACGGTGGACATCGCTAATCTCAGAGAGACCCGCTTCTCCGATCAAGGCCAACTAGAGGAGGTGAATTCCTGCTATACATTCTGGAGCGGCCACCCAAAGACAGAGTGACGCGACGCGGACGTCGTCTTTCCCATCCAAAACGACGTCGTAGGACACCTAGAGCTCTTAGACTCCGGCTGCGCCACCGTCGAGTTGACCATCAACACGAATAAGACGGTTGTCATGCATCAACTGCCGCCCAAAGCCGAGTAAAATGCATTTCGCATCCACATCTACAGCACCCAACAGGAACTGTGAACAAATGCGCCCATTTGGGCAGCGCAGCATCAAAATTGACGATGACGTAGCCCATCGGCTCTTGCAATTCAGTTAGGCTTTCGGCCGGGTGCGGAACCCCGTATGGAATCGCCACGGTCTCCACCTCAACGTCAACTCAAAGATGTACAAAGCTGTCATCTTCGCAACTCTGTTTTATGGTGAGGAAACCTGAGCAGTCTACAAGAAATAAGCGCGGCAACTCAATCACTTCCACTCCTGTCGTCTCCAGCGGAGGCGGCAGAACAGGATCCAGGACATGGAAGCTTTGGCGCGAGTTGGAAGTCTCAGCATCCGGGTCCGAAGACATGGGAAGACCTACCGCAGGACCGACTAGCCTGGCAAAAAGCAGTGAGGACGAGGGCTGCCATCTATGAGCCAAACCAAACCGCCGCCAAAGCCAAAAGAGAAACTCGCAAGACTCAGGCGGCCCTGACCCCCAACGCCAACATCCAGCCCCTCCCAACAAGTCCGCATTGCCAATGAACATTCCGCACGCGGATCGGCATCGTTGGCACCTCCAGAACCAATGCACTACCAGGTCCGCAACCCCAGTCGCTGTCTTCCCAATTGCAAGTGCTCCAACTCTCCCGGCGTCCATAACGACCGGTGATCACAATCCCGGTGTCGCGCCGCTTTCGATCACCGCCATCTCCATCATCCCTGCCACAACTTCCGTGGTGATGACCACCACCTTCTCCAGCTACACCAGTCAGAACACCTCTGAAGCCCTGCAAACCACCACCTTCATTATCACCACCCCACCTCCAGCGATGTGGACTTGGCCTCAACCTGCCCTCACTGCGATAGCACATTAACCTCAGGCGTCGGTCCGGTCAGTCACTTGCAAATTCATCGTACTACAATCGGCGCACCAGTGTCAGGAGCCCCCGTATACACTCGTCGCACCCGCCTTCACCGCATGAGCCTATTCCGTCGTATCCGCAAGTCGGATCTACCGCAATATCGACACAACGGCAGGGGACGCACACCGATCATTCTTACGGAAGTCACTCGTTCCGTTGTGCCTTATGGTCCCTCTCTCGAGGCCAACCAGCAGCCGCACAGCGGCGCATTATATAGGCAGAATGGTATTACCGATAAATACAAGGGAGACTGGAATGGCCATTTCTGGCTTATTAGCCATCGTCAGCCAGCCATACCCAACCCCAAAGTGTGGAACACCTGGGACTCGAACTCGCGACCTATTACTTAGAAGTCCACGCCTCCACCCACTTGGCCACGAGCCCTAGGGTGTTGCACACTTCGGGGTTGGGTATGACTGGCTGACGACGGCTAATAAGCCACAAATGGGCATCCCACTCTCCCTTGCTTTTGTCTGTAATGCCATTCTGCCAATATCTACACACCTAGCACATCTGCCAACTTCCTCATTCCCAGCCCAGTCAACTCCCCATTCGTCCGCAACACCACAATCGCGACCGACCTATTATCCCTCAACCTATCCTGTCCAAACTGCTACCGCACATACCTCCACGAATCGGCCCGGTCGGTCAATTGCGAATCACTCAGACAGGCAATGGCGAACCAGGGCGTCGAGCACCTACATCGGAGGTCACCGTCTCAACCCCTCACATTGCTCTCCCACATTCGGTCGTCGCATGGGCCTATTTGGCCGCATGCGCCCCAATGAAAACCTGCGGCAAATCACCACAGACATGACCACATTATCACACTCCCCAGGAATACTTGTGCCAAACACAAACACCTCTAACGTCCTACATCACCGGCACCTCTCTCAAGCAAGCGCTCTTCAGCTCCTTTCTCCACACGGTTCCTCTGCTACATATGAGATCCGAGCAGTCCACCCCTTTTGCGTTAGATCCTCGTGTACGTGTGCGGAACGCGCAGGCCAGCTGCTTCCAGTTCTTCCAGCCATCTCTCTCTCTCTCAGTCTCAGCAACAGTTGGTTCATCAGCTTGTACAGTCGGAATCAGGCGCAGGTCACCGTCCATGCTATCAGTCTGCTGTGGAGCACGCGATGGATATCGTCGAAACGATGGTCGAACTTTCATGTACGGTAGGTGGGCTTACTCATGAAATGTCAACCGAAATTTCGAAATGCGTTTTCTTTTCGAAAAGATTAATTAAGTAGGGTTGTAAAACCAATCATCGCGCACATACTTCTATAATATTTCAGTTATCTCAGGATGCCGGCTTTCGAAAGAACTTCATTCCGGCTGCATGCAAAAACTGCACTCTGCAAAAAACGACTACTTATGTAGCATGAATTTTTTTTCATTGATTTTCGATGTTCCTAAAAGTCTAATAATATTTCATGGAAAACATGCAGTGAAATATTCATTCATTTGCTCATTCGGTAGACAATTACGTCTTCTAATTTTATCATCGAATGAGGGACATAATTCAGTTTTAAAAAAGTTTCTAATTGTGAGATTTTTTAATACCGTGAAATGGCCCTTCATAAAACGTCATGTCTCTGCATTTATCAATGTGGCTTGTAAAGTAAACAACATGGATCAAATCCACTGCTTAATTTTATTAACCCTACAGTACCTGTGCTAACTCATGAAATGCCGAGGTCAAAATTATAGTGGACAATGAAGTGTATTTTTGGTGTCGTTATTTGTGTTTATTTGGTTGAAATAAGGACGAAAAGACCGTTTTCTGAAGGAAAGTTTGATACGGATCTGTATATTAAATAGAAAACGGGCCGGATTAAGGCGAAATCGGAGGATTCCTGATATTCAAGCAGTTTCCTACGCTATTAAAGCTTTCGGATGGAAATTCTTTGTGTAACCTTATTAATCTGCATGCAACCGGAAGTTCATTCGGAAGCGAGCATCCTGAGGTAACTGAAATATTATAGACTTACGTTGCAGGCTGACCTGTTTTACAACCCCACTTAATCTTTTCGAAACTAAAACGCATTTCGGAATTCCGGTTGACTTTTCATGAGTTAGTCCACCTTCCGTTTATGGACGTTGGAGTTTTCATATCAGAAAGCAATAGGCAAGCTTGGGGCAAATTCATTTGGAAAAACCTCAGCCTCGGTCCCGAAGTCGGTTCAAATATTTGAGCTTTGGTCCTGCAGTTTCTGCGGAACGACCGTGCAATATTACCAAGCTGCTGATCGGTAGTCTGTAGTGTATAAATGCTGATTGATCAACCACACCCCTAGCATGGGTACTTGCCAAAGGCCCAGGCACGTGTTTCGATGATTCTGTGTTGTTACACGACACGGCGGCAAGGGACTCGGCCCACTACTGTAAATATTGCGCGACTATTTCGGTGAGGCCGATGGACTTCAGTTCAAATATTCACGCCGACATTTTAACCGAGTCTGACGGTTGTTCCGAAAACTTGATTCAAAACTCACATATTAACCCCTGAGAAAACTAAGAGACTTAACATTTCAGTCGATAGAAACACACGAGTCCGTTCGCTCATGGCCAAATCACTATCACAATGATGCTGAGAACCCAAGGTACATTCCTTATGGCTCATACGTCCAGAACCAAGACGGCCAGGGTAGATACAGGCCATCGGGGGACAGGTGGTGACATTTAGACAGGAGGTTGCGACGTTGAGTAATTTGGGCCAAATGCTGCCTGGGAAGTTTCAAAGCCAGCGACCAGCAACGACGTACCTCCCATGTCCAGATAGTTGACTCCACTATTCTGCTTATTGAAATGATGACAACCACCTCCCCCTTTGCCTCCTCACACCCTGCATTCCACAGCCAGCCATGTGTAGTTCCAATGTAGAGGGTAAGGAAGGTTGGTACAGGCCAGGATCTTGTCCTATTCTGTCGGTCCTAAAATCTGACATATTAGATGGTCTGGTAACATTCACCGGCGTTCATTCTATGAAATCCTTTTTATCTAACGTCGCAGCCCTTCGCTGTATTCAAGAGACTGGCGGCTCGAACGTGACTCGATAGGGTCCGTCAAGTTAACGAATTAGTTATTGGGCCGTTGGTATTAGGTTTCGACCGCTAAAGCACAGGAAAGGTTAAATTCACCAGATTCTCAACAATAGACTGTCCCCTGTTAAGCGATCGTGGAAAAATCCTCGAGGTCAGCTGTGGCAAGGATGGTTACAGCCGTATGAGGTACGAGTGGGTGCTACTTCTCAAAATGCCCACCAAAATTCTGAAACATATCTTCGATTGGAAAGGATTATTAACGTGGGGTTGTAATATCGGCTATCGTACAGCATAATCTGAAGATATTCCCGTCACGCCAGGATGCCGGCTTTTGATTGAACCTCTTCCCGGCCGCCCACAAAAACCGACTACTCAAGTAGTATGAATTTCGCCCATTTACTTTCAACGCTCCTATAAATTCAAATGTATCATGTAGGAAACATAGGAACATATGCTCCTCCTCGTACGCATTTGGTGGCAAATACGTCTTCTCTAGATTTAACACTCGTACAAAGGGTACCTTCAGGGTTTTAGCAAGCTTCGACTCCTGAATAATTTCAAATCCAACCTGCAGTCGCGCCCAGAACTCCCGTGCAAGGAAAATCATACATCTTTCTACGTTACTAAGGCCTCGTATACGGCTCGTAAGATTTCGTAATAGATGTGGACCATGTTGCATACCTTATAAGCGGCGCCAGCAAATGCACGGATAAGATGCTATGTGAATGGGCATTTTACGGGCACAAAAATCTTATAATTACAAAGTTTCCAAGACCGAAAAACACCTTTCCCTCAATTACAACACCTAAGAACGTAACTTGTCAGCGAAAGAGTTCAAGAAGGAATATCTTGAGCATGTCTTTTGTAGCACACATTCTAATTCGTAAGTGTTGAAAATCGAAGCGAAAAATCCACATTAGGTAAACACATCCTACTGAGTGTGGTTTTTGTAGGCGGCTGGATAGCAGTACATCGAAAAGCCGACATTCTGGCGCGGGTGTTACAACCCCAATTAGGTAATCATCTGCAATCGAAAACACATTTCCGAAAGTTCGGGCACTGCATGAGGAAAGCCAGGCGCCGTACATAGAAAGTGACCTTCGCGAAGAGACCGTGCGTAACGTTACACCTTTCCTGTATATAAACCCAGCGAAATTACTGCAAAATGTCGTTGTATTGGCGGAAAGATCATCGGCCGTCCTCTAACTACGGATTAGAGCCTCGTCAACATCTCGGTCTGGAGAAAACATAGTATGTGGCTGACGTGGAATAACAGAGAGTGTATGAAAAAATCACTAAATTGATATTCAGATGTTAAGTGGAATGCGCAAAAGAAACTATCGGCATTGACGGCGCTAAATCAAGAGGGAAGGTGGAGAGGGTCGAAGACACCGTCCTGAGAAGGGCGCTAGAAGTGTAACTCCGACGGAAGTGGAGTAGGAGGATCCGCCAGACCGGCAAGAAGGTTATCCACCGTCCTTTCTGCCATTTCCCTGAAAGGGAGCAAGGAAACGCTGCCAAACTATGCCCATTTGCTTTCTCTTGCGGGCAACCAGGGTAATAGTGCATCTGTACAATGTTTGTTGGCGTCAAAGACTGGCGGTAAAAGAGATGCCATATGGGTCAAATGTACTGACCGACCTTAGTGCTCTGGCCGTTTACGGGGTTCAGAGCTTAGGCTGATATATGAAACCATAAAGAGTCAAGGGGACGGAGAGTAATGTACGCAGAATCGAAGATGCGGATAGTTCCACGGACAAAGTCATCTTATTTTTAGTAAGGTGGAAACTCAAGAAGCACTCTTTAGGCTTCGGATGTGCTTTCAGGGACAAAACACTAAAGGTGGTTGGAACTAATCCGAGCAAAACATCAGCTTAAGTCACTGCCGATACTATGGCATTTTTGCTT